AGTGGAAGACAAGAGGTCTCCTCGCACTTGTGCATCCCCCCCCCCCTTCTCTACTGCTCTCCCCCTTTTCCTACTTACAACGCTCTCTCCTCCAACTCTCACTGCGCTTGGCCGTGGTGGACAGGATAGCCATGTTTTTGGTATTCCGACCATCTTGATCGCACCGACAAAATAAAATATCTTATGTGGTACAGACATTTACAGACACTGTCCAAACCATCTGACCTAGTGGCATCTTTCAAACAAGCGTGGAGATTAACCAGCAGCCAGACTGCCAAACAGACGGGTAGGCGACCATAGGTGCCACGCCCTTGTCCAGACGGACTCGAGTAAACAGATGAGCAGGAAGTCATCTCTCATACACCTTTGATTTATCACTTGCAGCTGCTGATCTCAGCCTCGTTCGTCCCAGCTTTTAAAGTAACGAACGTGAATGATTACTCTGCTAGAAACATAAAATGTGTGTAACACAAATACAAAACCTATTACGTTCCAGCTTTCTTAATTTTATTAACTTAGTTAATGGTAAGAACACCTACCAGGTTAAACACGAGCATTTCGAAGAAAAAACGTCGTTTGGGTGCCCCAAGTTAATTCCAATTTTCTTTACAGAACATTTATCTTCGAAAACGTTCAAAAACTTAATTATCCTCAAATTTTAAGTACCATGTGTCACGACTTCTTAAAACTTTTTACCGTGATTTTTAAACGGTGAGAATGTAAAACTGGTGCACTATTTCATTAGGTACAAAAAAACACAACTAAAAACTGTAATGTAACGTAAATTACCTGAGTCTTGAAGGTTAAACTACACATGAACGAGTCAAATTGTGTGAGACATAAAGCAAGGAATAAATATTACTTAAAATTCAAATTTTCGTTAATTTACCAAATGAATGATATTTAAACGTTGAGAAAATTTGCAGGTTGGTACAGGCAAATTTACACTTTTCAAAAAAAATATGTATAAAAGTATAAAAGTAAACAACATATTACAGTGACAAAATGTGTACCGGGTGTTTTATAAAAGACGCAGGGGCGGGTGGGTTTGCCTAGCCAAGGGGCTATGGCGCCTTACGTGCAGAGTGAGGTAGACAAACCTGCCAGCACCTGCGTTTTTCATAAAGCACCCAGTACCTGCTTAGCAAGCTGTAAGTAAAGACGAGGCAGGTGACATCGAGAAATTGCACAAGGTAACAAAGGCTTAAGAGCCTAAAACAGTGCAAATAATGGTGTCTGATAAGGTAATCGAGTGACTGCTGTTCCTTGAGATATGGCTAAATAATTGGTAGCTCAGTTGCCACCGGTATCTGAAGGGTCTATCCGCAAAGAGACAAAGACCAAACAAGAAAAAGTAGTATAAGAAACTCTATTAGTTCTAATAACGTCAAAAGACGTTAAAACTTTTGTGACACAGAAAAATATTGCCAAAGATGGATCAGTTGGCACGCCGTCCGCCCCTTGGTCACAGGCCAAAGAATCGGGGCTTACTGGTTTCGTTGTCTTGCAGTCGGTCAACATTAGCAACCAATCCTTCTGGCAATAGTAACAGAGCACAAACACTGAGAACCGCCCTACAAAGCCAACTGCTATGAAATTGCCGCTACCTTTGCTAAGTATGTATCTCAATCAACAAATCATTTTGCAACAGTCAACGACAAGTCGACACATTGACGAATACACAAAGACAACGGTGAGAAAATAACTGACAACCTAAAACGTTTACAGTCTACTCTTTAGAATAATGGGTTTTAATACAGATGATCTGCCTTATTAGTCGGGACGCGCACGTTCACGTCCTCAACTTTGCACTTTGAGCAGAGACTTGAAATTTTGCTATTTCGACCTCGATCCCCCCAAACACCCCTCACATCTTTCATTTTGCGTCGTTTGTGACACGTTAACGGGTCGTACTAGTGACTTGGTATCCAAGGTTCACGACATCTATTCAAGGAAGGGGGTAGAGAAAAACACATGTAGCGTCCTTAAATCGGTGTGCCTGGTCCTGATCATCAAGGAACTGGTTTACCGTGCACTTGAATCGGGTATGAGTAAAGATGAATAGGATGATGGACACAACGACAGTAACAAGGATTTAACAAAACAGTTTGGAGTTGCACAGAAGTGGCAAAGAGTTTCAAACTTGATTAAGCAGTTTACGATCACGGTAACAACGATGTCTCATATTTGAGGGAAAAGGAAAAACTTTCATGAATTTCCATACTTCAGGAAAACTCCCCGGCGATCTCGCTTAAAATTTTGAGGAATCTTCTCAAAAAATGAGGTGAAATCCCACATTTTTAGGAGACACTTCGGGAGACTTCCTCCAAATCAGAGGAGTTTTCCTCGAACCAAGGGAGTTTCTCAAACTTTTTTCCTTTGCCAAAATGAGAGATCGTTTTTACCGTGAAATGTGAATACGTTTGTGAATTTGAGACCGCAAAAAAGTAAACAATAGAAATAATACATTGCAGAAGATGAATGTCATCTTCCAATTAAAACGGACATTTTTTTCTTAATAAAGATTTAAAAATGAAAAACCAGAACAAATGACCGTCTAACTAGCCAACATGAGTCGAACGATAACAGTGTTCTGACTGATATCAAGGCCATAAAGTGCGAGTAGGGTAGGGTGGGGGAAAACAAGGGGCCACACTGCCTTAACAGCTTTGGGTGGTGCTTCGTGCGGGAACCTAAGGTCCGCAAATGTACGAGTGGTTTTTAACGCGATCAGGATGAGGCAACTGCTAGCCCTGGCCCTACTGGCGCTTGCTATGCATTTAACGAGGGGATTTTCACAGGAAAAAGGATATACGCAGGTGAGACAAAATATATGTGATTACAAATATGTTCCCGAACTAGGTAATGCATGTGATTACAAATATGTTCCCGAACTAGATAATGTATGTGATTACAAATATGTTCCCGAACTAGGTTAACACACCATAACTTTAATTGCAGTCTAGTCTGCAACCAGCCAGGGCTACGACTCAGAGAGAGAGCAAGGGAGTTCGAATAGCAGACGGCATCGCCTCGCACAAGCACAGTCTTCAAATCACGATCAAACCTGGCATTTCTATCGAGGTGTTTGCTCCAGCGCAGCCCGGAAGACCAGCCGTCTACACGCATATCTACAACCCAAGCAAGAACGAGTCTCTAGAAATAGGAAAACAAGTTCAAGGGACTGGCAAAACAGAAGACAATCTTCGAGAAGGAAATTATTCGGAAAGTAAGTTGTACGTCAACGTGAATAGAACTGAACTGCAGGGTGGTGACAAGCTTAGTGGCGCAACCCAAGAAGTAGGTACAGGAGACGTATTGAAGGAAGTAGTCAAAAATGCAGTTAATGAACAGATTGGTAAAAAAACAGGAAGTGTACTGAAGGGAGGTGTGAACGAATGGGGTGGGCATATAAGCACCGTTGGGTCAAACGCAGAAAAGGGGGATACTAACACAAGGGTTGGTGCTTCACGAGGGAGCCAACGTGAGGGATCACTGGAGGGTAGCAGTTTCGATAGTGGATCTGGAATTGAAAATATAGTTCAAGCTTTGCATGGGGTGGGACATGCAAATAAAATAGAGAAAAGTGGAAAACGTGAGACTGTATCATCAGATGGGACTGCTACAGGGGGCGCGGACTCAGGCACCAAATATCTTGGAAGTGTTAAAGTAGGCAGTGAACTCAAAGAGAGTGGAACGCTAGGTGACAAATTTCAATACGGAGCAAACCGAACCGGAAGTTTCGGAGGAAGTGGATTTCAAGGGGAAAAAATAGTTGCCGAATTAGGGAATTCGGGTGTTGGTCTCAAAGGAGTACCAGGGGGTGTAGGTGAAGGTGTTCAGGACCCATTTAAAAAAGAAAGTATCTTCCAGGGAAGTGTAAAGCAAAGTGTTAGTCTTCTGGACCTAGATACACCCAAACTCGCTTCAGGTTTGAAAGGGAGTCAGCAACCACTTCTCGGACTCAATGGGGGTGTTAAAGTAGGGCGTGTGCTAAAAGGAAGTGCGATAGCAGGTAGTGGTGGTGGTCTAGGAGGGGGAAGAGTTGAGCTCGAAGGGGCTGGTAGAGGAGGAAGAGTTACACTTGAAGGTAGTGCAAAAGGAGTCGGATCCCTGAAATTTGGAAATAAAGAGTTTGGCCTCCAAGAGAGTTTAAGAACAGGCGGCGGGGGAACAAGGGAATCAGGAGTTTTAGCCTTAGAAGCTGGAAATACAGAGGTAAAGTCGACGGGGAGTGGTCGACTACAGGTAGAAGGAGCTGAGGGCGCAGGAAGGGGACTTCAAGGCTCTAAAAAGCTTTACCTCCATGTTCATGTTCGCCCAAAATTTCGAGCGGGAGGTGATCTGGACAAAGAAGAGCGAAAAGATAAAAAAGTAGGTGGGAAAGACGAAGGCGACAGGGACGCTTCTTCAACGTAAATAATGATGATATAATGAATATAAATAAATGCAACAGCTTGTTAACGAACATAAGATTATAGCAGGGGTCCCGGCTACGTGGCTTGCATGAGCATTAGAGCTCAGTCATTACAGCTCTCTTGCTCTTACGGGTCACCCATAAGTATGTCTATCTCGCAATATCGCACTGAGGCACTGAGTGAAGCTGTTGACATCCGTGGATATCCTGGATTATGAATGTAAATTTTAACAACTTAAATGATACAAAAAAATCTTCTAACTCTAAAAATTGAAAAAAAATCTTGTTTGGATATGGTTCTGCGCGTAGAGCAAAATGCCTTGGGCCAATGGGCGTACCACGTGTTTCTATGAATGCATTCAGTTTTATGGGTTTGTCTACTTACTTCGCCCGTAAGGCCCTTGCGAGGCGGGTGGACTCTTAAAACATGAGCACACAAAAAAATCAGCATCTGGTGCACTTGGCAAATGTGAGTGCGAACGTAAACCACCACATTATCAAAACGTCTTTCTATAGACAAATTAAACTTTGCAAACTGCAGAGCCCTGTATTGGTCGGGACGGCGCAATAGCGAACGGCTGTAGGCAAGCCCGGACGCACGCATTAATCCTGTATAGTAAGCAGAACAAATAGAAGGCGGAGTAGATCACCTACCCTGTGTTGAGGTAATGTTATCGAGTGGTTATAAATAGTAATATAAGATTTTAAGGTAAGATAAGATTCTCAAATTGTACGGATTATACAATTATTGTATGTTTCACTGAACCCTCAGCTTAATAACAACCACCATGTAGTGAGATGTAGTGGGCTCACTACATCGTGATAACAACTTACAAAAACTAAAAAGTTCTTCAAGAATGCGTCAAATTTATGTTCTTCGTAATGACGTTGAAGCAATTAAACTGTAAAAAAGTAACGGTCACCCATACGTCAACAATTCTTAATTTAAAAAGAGGTTACTTTCCCGTATCCGCACCCATTCCTTCCCAAGTAAAAGTCTGTGTAAAAAAAAAATGAAGGTACTCACTAAAATCCTGTAGGATTTTGGCGTAAATTAAACCTAGAGGAATATAATTACTGCCAATATTAATCCGATACTTACCGTTTCGGGAACGGGGCCTCTTACGGCGTTCTGTATCACCCTTTCCTATACAACACTGTTAGAAAAACCTACGGTAAATGTCTACGGTGTGCCCCGTCAATTTGTCATCAGGTCCTCAACCGTAATTTTGGCTTACGGTCCACTCCGCACGCGATGGACCGTAACTTCGCAAACTATTTTATGGGTCAATAGAGGGTTTCCCTCACACAATGAAATACGGTCCATATCTTTACGGTCCAGCACGTACATAAAATTTACAGAACGGACCGTAGGCAACCCGTACTTCCTTACGGTATTTTTTACAGTTTAGTCCATATAAAGCTGCTACTGGGTTACCCAAGTCGATCCAAGTATGGAGCACGGTACTAAAGAAAACCGTATTGCCCTCGAGAAAATCCACCTCCGCATGGGGAACGGGGCGCCGGTTTTTGCAAATGACAGATGCTCCGGTTTTCAAGCAGCAGTACGATGAAATGTGCGTTAATCTTGATTTTTTATACAATCAATTTCCATCTTGAAGATGAAAATTATGTAGGAGACAAAATCTCTCAAGAATGGTCTAATCGGGTCTAATAGGACATTAAGGCTTTTAAGCTGTGCGTTTACGACCATATTATTCATCCCAATGCGCACGTCCTTCAAGAGCGCTATTGACTTTGAAAACAGTCAGAAAATGACGTAGACGCAGTAGGCAAACGCGATTATTCAAGTGTGCAAAGACACGTTCGAATCCCTAGGTGCCAAGCACACGGGGGCTTGCCGCCGCACGCTCTGGACCGGCCAACGCCAAGCACGCGCTGAACGCTTGTCCGAGCTGATCATCAGGGCGGCGATAAACACCGAACAGGTTGTGTCTGCACGACGCGACGCGCGCAGGCGCAAACACGCGACGGCTCGTCCCCTCTCCTCCTCCTGCTGTCTTTCTTTGCAACCTGGCGCTCGGCGTGGCGGCTCCGAGCGAGAAAGACACCCTGGTCTCCAGGTGTGGGCTGGGAGAGTCTGAAGGTGAATTGCTTGTTTTAATTTTTTTTTATTTTCTCATGTCTGTGTAGGCCAGACAGGAGCCAAACACTTGGCGGTAGCGCCCATCATGATCACTGTGAAAAATATCTTCGCAAATTTAGAATGTGTTTTGTATTTGTGATTTACAAAATACATTGTAAACTTACGAGAGGCGACAGCCCAATTGTTGCTCGTTGGTGAATTCCAAGTCGGTGCGTGACCGTAGCAGGTCTCTACCCCCGCCCAGCCATGCTATCGATAAGGGCCGTGCACACTCTTGACATATCTGTGTCCAGGAGTCTCAGCCCGATAGTGAGGCTGCTCTCTCTTGTGGAGCGATCCTTAGAAGAATCTTTTCAAAAACAAAAATGTATGGAAGCACCAGAAGCGCCGAGCGCCACAAAATACTAATTTCTGGCGATCGCACAATCCGTTTAGATTTTTCATATAAAAGTCAGTCTTATCATCCCTCCCCTCTCCCTGACGCACCTACGTCTGCTCGGCGTACGGCGGGAAGGGGTACGACACGACAGCGGAGAGGAGGGGGGAAGCCGCGACACACACAGTGACGAGACAGTCCGAGCAAAGGCGCGGGCCGGGGCGGCGGCAGCAGTGCAGCAGCAGCTCAGTGTACGGCATCACAGGCAGCACCGAGGGCAGCACCAAACGAACTGGTGAGCACCAAGTCAAACACCAAAGTGCGGATAGCAACAAAACAATGTGTAGCATGCAAGCGATCGAAATGTCGCGTGGGCGCGTGCCCTAGAGGGGGATGGTGCGCCCAAGTAGTTGTGGTTGCTGTGATGGTCTCAAAGAATTTCCACGGCGGTCGCTGTCGGGTCTCTGCAGCAACGTTCAGAGTGGCAGTCGATAGTTGGCTAAACTTGGCCACGTTCCCCGTCCGCGCGCCCCCGCCTCTCGGCCCGCCTCCAGCCAGTAATGCCGGCCGGCACCGAAGTGCACCCGTGCGGTCCCAGGTGTCTGCAAACCGGTCGGCGGCGCGGTCGGCGGCGCGGTCGGGGCCGCGGGGGCTCGGGCCCACCCCGTGAGGGGGCGGCAGCGCGCCGGCGGCGCAGCGGAGCCAAAGCACCTCAAGCGGCTTGCGGTGAGGCGCCCGGCTGCGCCCCGGCTGCACCCGGCTCAGCCCGCGTGGCCGCCGACCTGGCCCGGGGGGTGCGCCCACCCCATGCCCCTGACTATTCGCGGCCATTTGTGTTTGCTCTGATGGGGGATATTAGCGCATTACTGCACACACCGAACGGTGCGCCACAGCTGCACTTTGCACAAGTCTGGCCCCGCCCGTCTGTACACCGGCTAAAGGCCTCGCGCGCGCTCAGCCTCACGTACAGCTGCGCGCAGCTAGCTGCTATTTTTAAATGGAAAAAGGTACAACGCAAGAGGTAATGCATTCGATGAGTGCGCCGCGCACACGAGGCGGGGCCGGGGCCGGGCGGGGCGGGGCACAGCCAGCCTTGTCTCTGGAAATCACGACGCCGGTTCGATAGCGCCGTCCGTCTCGCTCGCACGCTCGGGCGGCGCTAAGGATTAGCTGTCACGGGCCGAAGTGCGATCGGCTGTCACCGGGCGCCTCAAACGCGCCGCCATATCTG